TACCTTAGTCTTATCTGCCGCAACGGATCGACTCCTGCGTTCTATGGCTTACCAAAAATACACAAGTGTGGCATTTCGCTTTGTCCCATAGTTGACTTTACAACGTCGCCATTACGAGCGCTGTCAAACTATCTCCATCGTCAGTTTCTTCCACTCATGGGGAAGACCAACACACATGTCGAGAACACTGTCCACTTCATCGAACTCGCTTCGGACCTGCAATTGAACGACGACGAGAGCCTTGTTTCATTTGATGTGGTATCTCTTTTCACGAGTATTCCCATTCGACTCGCGGTGTCTGTTGTCAGAACGGCACTCAAGGCCGACACGACTCTACCTGAAAGAACACACCTCTCGTAGAATGAGATATGTCGGCTACTAGAGCTGTGCCTGACAAATACCTACTTTTCTTTCGCTGGTCGCTACTACAAGCAAAGTAGTGGCACAGCCATGGGTGCCGCGGTGTCCGTCACTGTAGCCAACCTCACAATGGAAGCCATCGAGCAAAACGCCTTATGCACATTTTCTCCCACACCGACTCTGTTTCTACGTTACGTGGATGATTACTTCTGTGTTACCGAGTCCAGCGAAGTCGATCGCCCTCACAAACATCTCAATTCCATCCATCCAGACATTCAATTCACGGTTGAACATGAGTCTAACGGGTGCCTTCCATTTCTGGATGTGGCAGTGGAAAAAACAGGGAACCATTTATCCTTCCAAGTACACAGGAAAGCAACGCACATCGGTCGCTACCTAAACTTCTTGTCAGACCACCCTACAACTCACAAAACCTCTGTAGTGTCGGCGCTCTTTTGACGCGCCCTCACGGTCTGCTCAACAAAGACGTCACTTAAGATGGAAGTCGATATTATAAAGCGAGACCTTCGGAAAAACAACAACCCCACGAGATTTGTCAACAAAATATACAAACAACTTCGTCACCCTCCTACATGCAAGAACAAAAACAACTCCAGCCGCACGTGCGTCCCGTACCTCCATGGCACGAGCGAGGTCCTACCCCGCGTTTTGAGACCGTACGGCATTGCAGTTACGCATAAACCTGTCTCAACTCTGGGCAATTTTCTTCCTCTTCCAAAGGATCGTCCACCAAAAGAAAAAGCTCAAGGCCTGATTTACCAAATTCCTTGTGCCGAATGCGACGCCTCTTATGTGGGGGAAACGAAGAACTTTCCCGAACGTCTGCGTAGACATAAGTATGACGTAAAGAAGAATGACATCCAAGGCAGCGCGCTGGCGGAACATGCTCAGAAGACCGGCCACGCCATTGGCTTTGACAGCAGCTCCATCCTCGACACAGAAAGAAACTGGAGAAAGCGGCTCTTAATAGAATCTTGGCACATACAAAATACAAGCAACAACTTCAACCGATCCACCGGAACGCTTCCTATCAGCTATATACACGGACTAAAATGCGCCACACACAGAAACAGGAGAAGAAAACAAAGCTAAGAGAGAAGAGAAGAAAACGACGACAGGTTGCTACCTTTGGGCCCATATACAGTCACCCGTGAACAAGGAGCCGAGCTGGCTTTGAAACGTCGGGCACATTGAAGGAATTGGTTAGAGTCTACGTTGTACTTTTTCTTATTACTTACCTAACCAGGCGGAGTTCCACCGAAATGTTTACATTTATAACCAAAAACTGATATAAATTTTGAACCACATTTCCAGCTTTCCTTGATATGTAAAACCTCACTAGCAGCATAGATATCCTATGGATGTCCAAAGGTCATTCATCAGATGTTATGACATCCTGAGGATATCTGGAGGACCATGTGTGCTCTTAGGGCTGATGCTTATTTTTACTTGGTGCGCTTCTAACATTATTTTGTTTGCATTTTTTATTGTCCTCCATATATAAATGAAATTAAGGTCTTTTCACAGGACTAGGGCACTCCTATACTTGATGTTGTGTTGGTGCATTGGTTTCAGGAGTGCAAAAGCATATCATGCACAGTCTTTGGTATATTTTTAGCAAAGTAACATCAGGACAGTTCCAATCCAATCGTCAAAAATGTTCAGGGCAGTGTGGAAGTCAGGTTGAAAAGAGTGTATTAGTAGTATTTTGGAGCTGTGCTTTTGCTAGTGATGCAAATTATCGATAAATTGACTATCGATACTATCAATAGTTTTTCCAAAACTATTGATAGTGTCGCAGAACTATCGATAGTTTTTTGATAGTTGACTATCGATAGCTTTTTTACTATCGATAGTCAGGTTTCTGGCGACTATCGATATTATCGACAGTTTTGCACCACTATCAGTGGGTCCCTCTTCGCTTACTTGTCCTCGAGGCTCAGCCAGATTCAGCGGGCTACCGGATAGTTTAGGTTTGCAACAGTGGGGGACTTTTGTTTTTCTTTTTCTGTTTTTTTTGCAGTAGAAAGGGCGACGACCCTTGCAGAAGGTGCCAGCTAATGCTGCCAACGCTGGCGCCTTGCCTCCCTTCCTCCTCTCTTCGCCCAAACTCCTGTCTTCGTCATCACTGAAGGCTGAACCAAAGTTGGGATGGTAAGTGCTTGGGCTAGTTGGTGCCCCATTTAAAAAATTAAGTGAGAAAAAGAGAAGAGGGAGCGACGTAAACTACTAGTGTCACAAAACTATCAATAGTAAGCCGTTCACAGTACTATTGATAGGTTTACGATAGTCAACCATCAATAGTTTTCTAATAGTCGATTAACAATAATTTTCCGATAGAGTATCGATAGTACTATCCATAGCTTTTCAATAGTCGACTATCGATAGTTTTTCGATAGTCGACTATCGATATTGCTGTTGACAGATTTTTTTTTACTATTGATAGTCAAATTTCTGGCAACTAGTTTCGCACCACTAGTTCTTGCTCCACAATATACCGTAAAATCCTAAGAGATGCCCCACCCCGAAAGATAGCCCACCCCTATTTTTGGCTTGGTTTGCTATATATTTTTAAACACCGAAAGATAGCCCATTCCTATTAATCGTAGTGCTGGGATCAGTGATGGCCTCGGCGTAAATGCAGTAGTTAGCTATGGTAGGATATACACAAACATTGCTGACTGGGAAGTACAGATACCTTTGCTTCATTGCCGGAAGGGACACGACCCTACAATAGCAATTTTTTTTTAACTTTTCTTGATTGTACATTGGAAGTTAGCCCACCCCATATTTTCACCCGATTTGCTCTTGATGTTAGGTGGGCTATCTCTCAGGATTTTACGGTAGGCTTATCCTAAATTTGGGGCATCAGAAGAACATTCTAACCAATAAAAGAGGGGTTTGCTAATTAACAGTTATGTCCTAATGCTCAAAGTGAGTTGGTAGGCTCTTTGCATTTGATGAGAGTTTATGATTACAGATGAGTGGCCTTATCATTTGCCTGGAGTGACCTTGTTATCCTCCCATATTCGGGAAAAGTGTGCCAATGTTTTGGGCCTGCCACTCAAAAGTGATCGAGTACCGCCTTGCAACCTTTCTCCCTTCCTCACGCCCAACTTGAAACACAGTTAATAATGGGCAGTATCTTGTCTCATTGTATTCGAGCTTGGCTTTACCGGCTCCTTGCTTTGAGGGTGGTCATTTCTGTGCTAGTTTTGCGCATGTACCCTTTTTTTTATTCAGGACTTCTGTGAGGCCGGTCCACATGCTTCAAATTTTGTCATAGCTAAGTGCACCATTTTGTGTACTGCAATTAACTTGATAAGCAATAGCATAGTTTTGCTTTGTCCTATGCATAAGTCAATGTCCTTTCCACTTTCCAGGAGCTTGTGACCACCTTGAAAGGCCTGACGAGCCATGTGCTCGTTTTCAAGTTGGTGCCTCGGGGTGGGCCTTAAGGGCATGCCAGGGAGAGCGAGAGGCTGTCTCTGAACAGCCTCCTAGTACGGAAGTTGGTTGTCCTCAGTGTTACCATCGTGAATGTCGACGTAAGTACATGGAACTTGCACCCCTGGTGCACTGTCCTTTTGATTTACATGTGACATGCCCCTTGTGACGAGATGTAATCTTCTATGTTATTGGTAGCCAGGTATTCATGATAGCTCTGGAACGCTGTTTATCGAGTGAAGGGTTGGCCAGATATAACCTAAAAAGCATTTGAAATGACAAACACCAGAATACACAGCAGTGACGGCTAAAGGAGTGCTACTAAAATACAAAATACATGAAATACACTTATAAAAGGAGCATTGCAAAATAGCTCAAATACGTATGACTAAAAAATAGGTGACAAAGTATCTTGAAATATGTTTTACTTGAAGGATGTTTGTTTGTTTGTTGGTGTTTTATGGCGCAAGGGCAACACGAGGGCCAAATAGCGCCAAGATCCTGTTTAGCTGATTTAATATGTAGTATGTTAGTGCTTATGGGTAAAACTAATGTGCTATGTTTAGCTAATATACAAATGGGTAATAAGGCCTATAGAGTGTAAAGGGCTCCAAAAATTCATGTATACTAGAGAAGTGACTTGAGGCCACTTTTTTGAAGGAACGTGAATAAGTCTTTGAGTGGAATCTGAGGTTCAGGACCTAACACCAAACACGGATGAAATGGAATGTTTAATCTTCTTAGTGGTGCTAAAAGTGGTTTAAGGAAAGGTTCCAGCTTCCTGCAAACAAACAGATGCATTACTGTAAGGTCTGAGTCACATATTTTGCAGGTAGGAGGTTCATTGCCCATTAAGAGATGTGAGTGTGTTAAGCGTGTATGTCCAATGCGCAGTCGTGTTAACAATACACTGTCATGGCGCGAGAGGTGACGACAGTCCTGAAATTCATCTGTAGTAGGGTGAAGGGTATGAAGCTTGTTACCTTCACATTTCTTCCATTGCCGCAACCATTTTGTCGCGACACTCTTGGACATCTCACGGCGAATGTCACTTAAGGGCAAAGGCATCTGTGTTCTGTCTTCGAACGGACCTTGTCGGGCAGTTTTGTCGGCAAGCTCATTTCCAGTGATGCCACTATGCCCTGGAACCCAGAGGAACCGAACGTGTCCGCCTATTGACTGGATTTCTCGTAACAGCGTATGAATATCTACAATAAACGGGTGTTTCTTAGGCTCTATAGCACAGATGGACATAAGTGCACTTAAAGAGTCGGAGCATATCAGTGATTTCTTGATCCGGGACTTTCTGATGTGCTTAAGCGAAGCAATAATCGCATATAATTCAGATGTGAAGACAGATTGTCAGGTTCTTTATGGAAAAAAGAAAGGAAACTGAAAGGTCCGTCTGATTTTTGATGTCAAAAAAATATATTTGCACCCAGTTACTCTACTTTCCGAATCCACGTAAAAAAAAGGGAAACTTATTAGCAAATAAATAAAAGAAAAGGGCGTACGTACAAAGTTCGACTTGCCGAGGTTGGCACTGGTTTACGCTGGTGGTAGAAGCCGGTCTCGTTAGGCTCCAGCTGCCAGCGTACCGATGGTGACCAGTCAACCGGTTGTTAGGAGGGCTTTGCCGGTTCGCTCTTGAGCCAGGCTTGCCGTTCAAAGTCGACGGTGAAGACAGGTCGGCAGACTCCTGTGAATGACAGCTTCGCCGGTGTATTCCGGAGCCAAGCTTTTTCGAATCCGTCCGCTCTTCGCCCTGAATCTCCTCGTTCCCCTCTACTTCTTTTTCTTCTTTTCCCCTTGTCTCCTTCTCTTTTCTTCCTCTTCTTGTCGCCGTATTGATCACATCATTACAATGACCCCCCCTTTAAGTTTTTTGTTTTTCTTTTTAGTCCACGAAAAAAAAAACCTAAAATATTCATAATGATGTGTCATTTTGCTAAGTACAAATTCACAACCGACTAAGGTAATCTGCTCCGACATTTTCGTTGCCTTTAATGTGTTCTATTCGAAATGAATATTCTTGCAATAACAAACTCCAGCGGAGCACCCGACTGTTCAGCTGCTTTGCTTTGTTTAAGTACTGTAGTGGCTGATGGTCTGTTTGCACCACGAAATGCCTACCGTATAAGTACAGATGAAACTTATCCACTGCCCATACGAGTGCGAGACACTCTCTCTCAATCGTAGAAAAGTTCTTCTCTCTCGGAAGGAGCTGCTTACTGGCATACGCTAAAGGATGCAGTATCCCCTCGTGTTCCTGCATAAGCACCGCCCCCAAGCTGTGTTCAGAGGCATCGGTTCTTAGAACAAACTCTTTCGAGAAGTCTGCGCTTTTAAGAATAGGTGATTCCGTAAGTGCCCGCTTCAGCTCGTTGAAGGCTCTCTCGCGCGCGTTCGTCCACTCCACGTCGTTTCGTTCGCGCTTCTTTGTTAGTTCCACCAAGGGACCCGCAATTTCTGCATAGTTAGGGATGAACGATCTATAGTATCCCGTTAAACCTAAGAAAGATCGAACTTGTTTCTTTGTCTTCGGTTTCTCTGCTTTCTTTATTTTCTCGAGTGATGAGGACAGTGGTCTTATCTCTGTGTTTCCTAGTTCGTGACCGAGGAAAGATATTCTTTCCATTCCGATCTCACACTTTTTTGGCTTCACCGTGATTCCCGCCTGCCGTATTTTCTCCATCACCCGTTGCAGTGTGTCCATATGTTCGTCCCAGGTGTCGGTGGCGATCAGGACATCATCTATATAATGGTGGACATTTGGAACGTTGGTCAGGAGCTGCCTCATCAATCGCGTAAACACAGCTGAGGCTGTCTTGATTCCAAATGGCATATATGCGAACTGATACAAACCAGAATCAGTTGAGAAGGCTGTTTTTGTTTTGGAATCGTTTGTGAGTGGAATTTGCCAATATCCCTTTGCCAAATCCAATTTGGAAAAAAATTTCCTTGGTCCTACCTCAGTGAGCACGACGTCAATTCGCGGGATAGGTTCGGCGTCTGGCGTTAAAACACTGTTGAGTCGTCGAAAGTCAATACAAAGCCTTACTGCACCATCTGATTTTTTCACTAAGACCAGCGGGGAGTTGTATGGAGAAGTGGATCTCTCAACTATTCCCAGCTTCAGCATCTCCTGTACCTCCCTTTCAATCGTTTCCTTCATTGCGAATGGAATTGGGTACTGGGGGGTTCTGACGGGTGCCGACGTACTGAGTTCCAAATGGCAATGTAGAAGATCCGTTTTCCCCGGTACATCAGAGAAGACGTCGTCATAGTTGTACAGGAGCTTCTTCACTTCCGTAAGTTGTCCATCAGTTAACGTTTTAGACAGAAGCACATCTTCTGGCCCCTGGCTTCTCTGGACGCCTATAGAAGGAAGTTCATTTACGTCTTCTTCATCTTCTATCGCTATGAAAGAACCCACATGTTCCGCGATAGAAAACGGTGCCTCGCGCTCTTCGTACCGCTTTAACATGTTGATATGAAAAACTTTGTGAGCATGACCCAAATTTAGCTTGTAGTCGACTTCGTTTTTCTTTTCGACAACGGGAAAAGGACCTTTCCATTGCATGAGCAATTTGTTGTGGCTGGTGGGCAGTAAGATCAGAGCCCGATCTCCTACCTTCAACTGTCGGCCTCTCGCTCTTCGGTCATAATATCGCTTTATAGTCTGTCTCGCTTCGTCCAGTTTTTGGTGAGCTAGTTCCATTGTTTGTTCTAACCGACTCCGAAGTTCTAACACGTAGCTATAAGTCGTCTTCAGCTCCTCACTGATTGTATCTTCAGTCCAGATTTCTTTCAGCACCGACAATGGGCATCGTATGTGTCGTCCATAAATCAACTCGAAAGGAGAAAACCCTAAACTCGCCTGTGGCGCTTCGCGGTAGGCGAAGAGCACTGGCGCCAAGTACTCGTCCCAAGACTGAGGTTTCTCTTCGCACATCCTTTTCAGCATTTGCTTGAGCGTACCGTTAAATTTTTCGACCAGACCATTGCACATGGGGTGGTACGGGGTAGACAATAAGTGCTTGATCGAGAGAAGCTCCATTACCTCATTCATCAACTCCGAGGTAAAGCTCGTACCCCTGTCTGAAAGAATTTCGCGTGGCAGACCCGCTCTGGAGAACATTTCAATTAAACCCTCCGCTACTGTTCGCGAGTCAGTGGATGGTAGAGCGACGGCATCTGGGTATCGAGTCGCAAAATCCACTAGGGTGAGTATGAACCGATTCCCCTTCTTAGAGGTGGGTGACAGCGGTCCAATCAGATCGATAGCCACTCGTTCGAAAGGTGTCTCAATGATGGGCATGCGCCCCAAAGGTGCTTTCGACACCATTCCTTTAAAAATCGTTCTCTGGCACAGGTCACACGACCGCACAAACCGCTTAACATCCGCTAAGACTCCGGTCCAATAAAAAGATTCTAGGACTCTGTCACTCGTGCGCTTGGCACCCTGGTGGCCTGCCATTGCGATATCATGAGCCAGACTGAGGATATTGTGGCGTAACACTCTGGGGACAACCACTTGGCGGAACTCCTTCCCGTTTGCGAGGAGGCATCTGCGGAAGAGAACTCCCTTGCTTAAATAAAAACTGTAGGTGTTGCCCCCTTTTGTCACGTGAGTTTTGGCGATCTTTCCGCGGCAGATATCCAATGACGTGTCTTTCAACTGTTCTTTTTGAAGGACGTCCTTTGTAACGTCTTCAATGCCGAGGTTGGGTGTGGGATTTGGAGTAGCAGGAACATGGCTTTTCAATGCGGCAAGTATGTTCCTGTCCAGTTGCAAACTCTCTGTTGCTTCAGCCTCCTCCCCACTTCTCCAATTTGGCTCGAGGTCTAGTACCTCCTTGGCTCCCTGAACGTTGCCAATAATTACGTCATAAAGTGGCTCGTCCATACATTTTGCGACAACCTCTCCAGTAAAGTATGGAGAAGCTATTCTAACGATTGCTTCTGGTAACAATTTGCATGTTCCGTCTACTAGGACCACCTGACGTTGTTTGCCCGTCAGGTGCTGAGGACCAACCAACTTTCTGCGCACGATAACGGTGTTGCAGCCAGTATCTCGTAACACCTTGGCGGGCTGTCCGTCTAGTAGTCCACGTTCTACTGGCATGCGTCTCTTTGGTTGGTGCTCCTTTTTATCGCAGACCACACTCACGAGTGCTTCGTTGGTTTGCTCCACACCGTGCGTTTCTTCGTTATGCATATGGCTTTCTTCAAACTCGCATGCTGTACTTTCAGATTCAGGTACTATAAAGCATGAAAGCTGAGTTTTTCCGCCCTTCCGCTGAAAGCAAGCTTTGGCATCGTGTCCCGATCTCTGACAAATTTGACATACTAGGAGTCGCTGTTCAGGTCTGGACACGCAATCTGTCGCTCGGTGACCTACTCTGCCGCACAAGAAACACCTGATTTTTGTTTCTTGCTTGATACTTGGCAGGTCATTCTTTAAATCATTATCACACTGGCTATGGTCCTCCTTGAAGTGAGCCAGGTTGTCTTGCCTGTGCGCTTCCATGAACTTATCCGCTGCCGCGGCCATCAAGGGAAGTGTATTGCAACTCCGCTCCTTGAGGAACACAGCTAGCTTCAAATGACAGCCCTTGATGAACTGTTCAGCGATCACCAGGTCCCGCAGATCGCCGTACGTTTTGGGACGAAGGCCCACCTCCACCCAGCGATCGAATAATCCCTCTAGCCTCGCGGCGTACTGGCTGCCTGTCTCGCCGTTATTTGGAGAGCTTCCTCGGAATCTTTCGCGATATCCTTCGGTTGTAAAGCGAAACCGCTGTAAAAGTGCCATCTTTACTTTCTCATAATCTAAGGAGTCGTCCGGGGACATCCTTCCGAATATATTTAGGGCCTCCCCCACCAAGCAGAGGCTTAATGCAGTGGCCCATTTTCCTCTTGGCCACTCCTGTCCCATGGCTAGGACCTCAAATCTTTTCAGGTATGCATCCAAGTCGTCTCTTTGGTCATCAAACGACGGCATTAGCTTATGAGGACTGAGGTACTGTGGTGCCGTAACCCCTTGGGGTCCTTCACCACCGCCTGCGCCATGCCTGTCACTTGCCGACCCCTCGGCCTCAATCACCCTAAGCTTAAGCTGGAGCGTTCTCTCCGTTCTTTCCTCCAGTTCCGCTTTCTGTCGGAGAGCTTCTCGTTCGGCCACTCTGTCCTCTCTTTGCCGAGCTCGTTCCTGATCAACCCATGTTCGCAATTCTGTTCCTGTTATCCCCAGCTTTTCCCCCAGGGTCATCAACTCCTTTAAATCCATAACTTATATGTTTTCACCAAAAACCAGACGGATGATCGTCAGAGTCCTGTCGCGGACGCCAGTTATTGTCAGGTTCTTTATGGAAAAAAGAAAGGAAACTGAGAGGTCCGTCTGATTTTTGATGTCAAAAAAATATATTTGCACCCAGTTACTCTACTTTCCGAATCCACGTAAAAAAAAGGGAAACTTATTAGCAAATAAATAAAAGAAAAGGGCGTACGTCCAAAGTTCGACTTGCCGAGGTTGGCACTGGTTTACGCTGGTGGTAGAAGCCGGTCTCGTTAGGCTCCAGCTGCCAGCGTACCGATGGTGACCAGTCAACCGGTTGTTAGGAGGGCTTTGCCGGTTCGCTCTTGAGCCAGGCTTGCCGTTCAAAGTCGACGGTGAAGACAGGTCGGCAGACTCCTGTGAATGACAGCTTCGCCGGTGTACTCCGGAGCCAAGCTTTTTCGAATCCGTTCGCTCTTCGCCCTGAATCTCCTCGTTCCCCTCTACTTCTTTTTCTTCTTTTCCCCTTGTCTCCTTCTCTTTTCTTCCTCTTCTTGTCGCCGTATTGATCACATCATTACACAGATGCAATAGGAGACAACTGGAAAGCATTTCTGGTGGTCCCAGAAACGAAGGCCGCTCCAACAGCATCGCCCATTTTAGAACCATCAGTGTGAAATGCCCGGTAGTCCTTGAACACTTTAAGAATTTCTAAAAAAACACTGTTGGTACACCAGAGGCGCAGTACATGGCTTTTGGAACTTAGTTAACCGCAGATCACAGGAAATGCTTGGGTCATACCAAGGGGGGAGTGGTGGACGAAAAGTTGAAACCTTGCTTATTGAAAACCTAGTGTCCGACAAAACTTGCTGCACACGAATTCCAAATGGTTGGGCGACTGATGGGCGTCGAGCAAACAGCTCAGTGAAAGATGGGGCTAGGACATCAGTGTAGGCTGGATTGTACTTGTACATTGAAATTCTACCTGCATAAAATAGACCTAGCAATTCTCTCCTAAGACATAGGGGCTGTTCATAGGCTGTTATGTATAGGCTCTCCACTGGTGATGTTCGAAAAGCTCCTGTGCACAAACGAATCGCCTGGTGATGAACAGGATCAAGCTGTCGAATTGTGTTTTGTCTAGCCGATCCATAAACAAAGCTACCATAATCCAGTTTTGAACGCACTGTAGCCCGGTAAATATGCGGAAGAGACTCCACGTGTCCTCCCCAAGATGTGTGTGCAAGCACTTTAAGAATATTTAGTTTTTTTAGGCAGTTTTTGCGAAGATGGGCAATATGCTCTCCAAATGTCAGTTTTCGGTCAAAAATGACTCCAAGAAATTTTTGAGAGTCCTTACAAGTAAGTTGTGTACCATTTAGTGACAGTTCGGGATTGGGGTACAGTCCACGTTTCCGCGTGAAATGTACAATGGCACTTTTTTCTGCCGAGAACTGAAATCCGTTTCGAAAACACCACTTGCCCAGTTTGTTTATGCAGAGCTAGAGTTGTCGCTCGGCAACTCGCAGAGATGAAGTCCTGATAGAAATTTTAAGGTCATCGGCATATAAAGAGTGTTCGATGGGGCGAGAAATTTCACGGGAGAGTGAATTTATCTGAACCAAAAATAATGTGACACTTAAAATGCAGCCCTGGGGAACGCCCGTTTCCTGCATAAACTCGTCAGAAAGAACAGCTCCCCGGCGCACCTGAAAAGTGCGATCTGTTAAGAAGTTCTTAATGAACACCATCATGTTACCATTAAAACCCATTGACACCAGGTTGCTAAGAATACCATGCCTCCATGTTGTATCATATGCCTTAGCAAGATCGAAGAAAACTGCCACCAGATGTTCACGCCTCACAAAGGCCGAGCGAACCTCCATCTCCAGAGACACAAGATGATCGAGGGTGGAGCGGTTTTTGCGGAAACCACACTGAGCTCGTGATAGTAAGTTTTTTGCCTCTAGGCAAAAAACAAGCCTTGAATTTATCATACGTTCCAACACCTTGCAGAGGCAGCTGGTGCGAGCTATTAGTCTGTAGTTCTGAGGATTTGTGTGATCTTTGCCTGGCTTTGGAATGGCTATAACGACTGCTTTCCTCCAGGATGTTGGGAACACCCCCGTTTCCCATATTCTGTTATAGAACTTCAGAAGAGCAAGTTTGGAATCGTGGGATAAATTAGCAATCATTTTATAGTGTATGTTGTCTAAGCCAACTGCAGAATTCCGGCAATGCAGGGTCGATAGCTCCAGCTCTCGAAAAGATAAAGGTTTGTTGTAAGGTTCCTCGCTACTGAGTTTTATTGGCAGTGGTTTTCTTTCTACTTGCGTGCAATAAGCTAGAAAAGGTTTTTGGTATGAAGACTTGCTCGATATTACTGAAAAAGTATGTCCCAGCAGATTTGCCTGGTCTATGGGAGAGCACACTTGAACTGTTCCATCTTTGAGAATAGAGAGTCGGGTATCATTATATAAGCCCTCCATCTTCCGGACTTTGTCCCAGATTTCTTTTGTTGATGTGTCCTGGGTAACCTCCGAGGTGTACTTGCACCAGGAGTTTTTCTTCTGGCTTCTGATTATGCGGCGGAGCTCAGCTTTGCTTCTTTTAAGGGCGATCAACCACTCAGAAGTGGGATACCTCTTGAACTTTCCCCAATACTTATTTTTATTTTTCTTGGCTTCTGTGCATTCTGGAGACCACCAGGGTTTTGGGTATTTTGGAAACCGTGATGATGATTTTGGAATTGAAACTGTTGCTGCGTCAATTATGACAGTTGTCAAAGCAGACATCGATATTAAGTGCGGTGAAACCATCCTCGGGAATCTGGGCCTGTTCACTGAATTTCGCCCAGTCTGCCTTCTCAATGACCCACCGAGGCACTCTTTTCGTAACACAAGGAGTAGCGCACGAGTGTTGGATGACAATGGGAAAGTGATCACTGTTATATGGATTGTGGTGAACATGCCAGGACAATTTCGTAAAAAAAGAGAAGCTCAACAAAATGATAAGTCTATGGCAGAGTATTTTACAGGTAAGCTTAGGGTAATATGCGTAGGAGACTTGTCATTTAAAAGATTCAGTGAATTTTTGAGCAAAAAATTCTCCACTACTTTGCCTCTAGATTCATCCAATTGACTTCCCCATAGTCTATTGTGAGCATTGAAGTCTCCAAGAAGCAGGCAAGGGCTTGGGAGTTCATTTACAAGCTGTTCTAGCTCTGTCAACGTGATCTGTTCATTAGGTGGAAGATAAAGAGAGCATACAGTTACCGTGATACCGATGTAAATACGTGCAGCAACTGCTTCCAAGTTTGAGGTTAAAAGAATCTGCTCTGAAGGACACGATGGCTGCACAATGAGAGCCACTCCTCCACCTCTCACATCCGGAGGACGGTCTTTACGATATACTGCGCATCTGCCAAATCTGAACGAGGCCGACTCGGAAAGGAAGGTTTCCTGAAGACAGGTCACCTCTGGGTCTAGGGCCTGCATCAGATCCTTTAAATCTTCAATGTTTGAGCGTGCTCCTCTGCAGTTCCACTGCACAATATTCACTGGCATTATGCTAGGGCGGTCCTGTTATGCGAGGGCTGTCTCTTTTTTGATTGCTTGTCAACTTCCATAGGGGTAGCCTGATCTGCAGGATCAGTGCAGGATTCAGCCATCCCTCCTTGTACACCAGGGGCTTCATGATGCGAGCAGGATGCACCACGATTACACTCGGATGCATCCAGAGCATTTGATTGAGGTGTACTATGTTGTTTTTCATGTAGCATGGGAAGGTTGAACGCAACCTTTTGGGAGCGTCCAAATGAAGGTGACTTGTTAGACTTCACCTTCTCCTGAACCTTGGCGTTGGGAGTGGCCGATGTGCTGGCAGCGCACCCAGAGTGATGAGATGAGGAGGATGGGGAGCCCCGAGGTGCCTCCTCTGCACGCCGTCGGGGTTGCGAGAGACCACTGAGACGCACCGACGTGTCGGTTGTTTGAGTCATGGGAGTCTGTAATGGTGTGTTATCCACCCTTGGTTTTGCAAGGAAAGGGGGGCTAAATGGGGCCACAATATCCTGAGCGGAGTATTGTGTACCCCCAGAGGTCTTTGGCGGAGCAGCCCCCCTAGCTGCCGCCTCAGCATACGTGCCTCCTTGCAGGAAGGAGAGACGCTTACGTGCTTCCTGGTAAGTCAAGTTTTCCTTTGTCTTTAGACTTATTATTTCCTTTTCCAGTTTGAATTTAGGGCACGAACGAGAGTATGCCGGGTGAGGTCCTCGGCAATTCAAGCAGGTGTGTGAGTCACTAGAACAGTTGTCTGTGGGGTGATCGTTGCTTGCACATTTGGCACATGTCGTTTTTCCTCTGCACGTGGTTGACCCATGGCCAAAACGTTGGCAGCGGAAGCAACGTCTAGGATTGGGGATGTAGGGCCTCACTTTGCAGTTAACGTAGCCAGCCTTGACTGCGGAGGGGAGACTTGTTGAGTTGAACGTTAAAACTATATGTTTAGTGTCCCTTTCCTGGCCATCACGACGAAGA